ACTTTTTAAAATAAGTTTTGTCTTCATGGAAGACCTATTTCTTAGCGTTCCATGGGGCGAGTTTGGGTGTGCTCTAACAAGCCAAGATCGCCTGGAGCAGATTTAAACATGTCCGGAGTGCGTGCACTTCGAATGGTCATGGTGGAGAGCGCAAAATTCGTATAGATCAGCATGGCAAGTCTGGGTGTCATCCTTCTCGTGGTTACCGCCGGTTCTAGGTCTGATTCCCTACGAAACAGATATAACTGAAACATCCAGGAGCAATTCCATCACATAAAACTCTTCCCTTTCCACATCTTTTTAACCGACTTCAAAAAAGGAGGAGGTTCTCAATTCGACTGTATTTTTTTTTTTTATGTTTGTTACCTCATAACTTTCGACTGGGTAAACCGATTTTGATGATTCTTTTTTTATTGGAAAGCTGGTGCTTCCCGTGTGGTCCCATTTCAATTTGGTCTAGTTCTGACCATGGAATCCATGAGAAAACCATTGAAGTCGGTTTTTTTTTGTTAAAATTTTACTTGTTTCTTTACGTGTCTACGTGTACGGGGACCCGTAATGGGGGATGAAGGGATCCTGGTAGTTGAACCGAAAGGCAACACACTGCTTTGGCCTGGATTTCTCCTTACACGGGAGGCTGAAGGCTAGCCACCTTTGGTCAATCGGCTGTAGCCGCCCGTCAGAAAGTTGCTGGGCGAGAGTTCTTCCTTGGTGTGGGTGGACGACCAAGTCTTCCCACCTCGTTCGGCCTGCCTTCTGTCAGGGAGGGAGCTCTGTATCTCCTTGTTACTTCTGGCGCTGTGTGCCTTCTGCCGCGACGTCCCCGCTTGAGGGCTCCAAGGACGGTGGAAGGACAAGGAGATGAACAACTAACCAAATTAAATGGAAACCAACAATAAAAAATAAAAAAACCAACCAATCCGGCAGCCCCTCGGGTGAACAACCCGAGTGCGAAGCCAACTAACACACCTCTGGCTGCTTGTCGGGTGAACAACCCGACCGTAGCGCCATCCACGACTAGGGCGAGAGTAGGGCGCCGGTGTCGACCATCTTTGACAAAACCAATTTCACCAGCATTCTCAAGTCTAGACATGGTGTTGATTTCACAATATCAGGGTGGATCGACAGCATCTAAGATATAGAGCTATTCAATTTACTGTGAGCGAAGTAACTAGAGGGGTGGTGGCCAGAGGATGCCCCAAGGGCGGTATACTCTCCTCCCTTCTATGGAACATAGTTGTGGATGAACTCATCACACAAATCAATGACCGTAGATTCCTCATAATGGCTATGCAGACAATCTGACTATCCTTATCAGTGGTCCCCTTGAGAGCATTACATGCGATCAAATATGGCTTGAGCACTAAAGAGGTTTAACACAGTGGTGTGTAAGACACAACTTGACAGTGAACCCATAGAAAACAGAGATGATTATATTCACAAACAAACATAGTCTAGGAAATCTCAGACTTCTCAAGCTATTTGGAACGCAACTAGCTCTTAACAAAGAGGTCAAAGACCTAGGAGTAATACTGGACAGTAAACTTCTGTGAGTGCAATACGAACCACTAACAGCAGTTCCATGCGATAGGATCCCAAAACACCATATCTATACAAAAAGATACCAGAAGGCCAATTCTCATAACAAAAGTTCGGTTTCAATACCACTTTCGATCTCGCAACAGCCATAAAAGGTATTTTCGAAGTAAAGTATTAAACCTCCAACATTGACTGTAATGTGATTATATCATACTGTATTGGTTATCTGCTAGTCTTAGTAATACTTTACTATTTTACAGTCCTCTTTGCAGAGAATGTATGAATGCAGAAGAAACGGCCACTCACGTAATCCTGGAATGCGAGGCTGTGATCACACAATGGGCAAGTATCATCCCTGATACAAAAATATAAAATCGTTCCTAGAAGCCTATGAACGTCCCAGGAAGCTTCTGTGCTTCTGGAAGGAGCTTGGTTGGCTTACCTAGCCAACCTGTCCTTGATGCATAAAGGACCATCTTGAGTCTAAATGTGGAAACCTGAGCCCACAACCAATACCAATAGCGTTCCATGGATTCAATGGGTACATTGCGTGATAGATGGGGGCAACACATGCAATTTCGTCAGCGCCTGGGACTGGAGACCTGCTTTAAAATAACCGCTTTTTAGTAAATGCATATGTATGTTTACATGGTACATATGACAAAATAACATTTTTTTCGATTTTTGTCTGTCTTCGATTTTTGTTTGTCTGTTTGTTCCGGGTTATCTCTGGAACGGCTGGACCTATTTTGACGGGACTTTCACTGGCAGATAGCTGATGACATAAGGAGTAACTTAGGCTACTTTTTTAGACTAGCTTCGCCCCGCGGCGTTGCCCGCGGTTATAACAAAAACGCGGGTAACACAGCGGGTCTCAGCTAGTAGGACATAAGAAAAAAAGAACATAATTGACCAATAACATTTACAATAGGCTATTTGACAACATTGAAAATATTCTCTAAATTATGGCCATCCTAGTAGATAAAAGGATAGAAAAGCATAATTTATTTTATTTTACACTATTTGGTGTAAAGTTTTAAGCAAATTTAGCGAAATAAATTTAATATTTTTTAATCATTTTATCTCGGACGGGAACGTCCTGTGATTGGACACAAATTTGTGACGACACCGCAATGGTCACAAGTGTCAAAAGTGAACCATAGATTAAAAGATATGAAGTAAACAAAACAAAAATCTTAATTTGTGGATTCCTTCAACCGATGTTAAGTGCGCATTTATGTGTTTTTTTTAAGTGTTTTAGTTATTTCTAAAAGTATTTTTTAATAGATTCAGAAAGAAGTGGTATTAATATCTATACAAATCGCAAAATGGAGTCAAATTTTGTACGAGCTGATAGCAGAACTCTTCCTAAAATAGACGCGTTTATGGTTGCACTTTTCTTTAAGAATAACGCTGATTATTATGCTGCGGAACTTAAAAATGTGAAAACAGCAGTGTAAGTATGACGTACAAATCATTTATTTGCTAATATTTTATATAACTTAACAAAATTGTAACATATCTCTTAGGTTATGGAACGTGTAAATAACTTTTTTTAATGGTCTTTCTTTTGTTTCACAGGTCTGCAAGGGAGTCCTATGGAGATGATGCGATTGGATATGTCCAACTATACCGGCAACTTGGAGTTTGTACAGTTAAGTGTAAAATGTGCCCGGAACATAAAGTGAGAAACACTGGTTATAATGTGACATTAGTTGTTGACGAAAACGAAAACGAAGTTATTAGTTGTCAGTGCCACGACTGTGCTGCTTCAGCTGGAGGATGCAAGCATGCAGTTGCTTTTTTGATGTGGGTCCATCGCCGCTCCGAAGAGCCTGCATGTACTTCCGTAGAATGCTATTGGAGGAAACCTACTTTATCTCGTATAGGGACTACTCTCAAGTACATAACTGCACAGCATTTGGCTAAAAAGAAAGTTCCATCCAGACCAAGTTCAATGGAACTATATGCACGATTTCTTCCAGAAGCCAAAAGAAGAAAAGTTGAGAGCTGTGAATTGCTAAGGTATCAGAATGATTTTATACACAAAATAACACAGTACTCATTGCACTGTTTTATAATGGACCAATCTCCAGAAATTAAGATAAACATAGACAAACTTATAGATGTCATGAAAGCAACATTTACTGAAACTGTGCTATGTACCATTGAACAAGCGACAAGGGGGCAGAACAAGAGCAGCTTATGGTATGAGATGCGATATGGCCGTATTACAGCATCAAAGGCTCATGAAGCTAGTGTCTGTCATACAAAAGATGGTTCCTTGGTGGCTGCTATAATGGGTGCAAAAATTCCCGATACAGCTGCTATGAATAGAGGCAGACAATTGGAGCTATCTGTCAGAAAGACTATCTCTAAGATATTAAAAAAACCAATTACTTCATGTGGGCTTTATGTATGTCAAGAGTATCCAATGATTGCAGCGTCTCCTGATGGCTTAATGAAAGATGCTGTTGTTGAAATAAAATGCCCTACTAAGGCAAAAGCTAAGGACAGGTATATAAAAAATGGTACTATAACTGAAAAGTTCAAGGCACAAGTGCAACTGCAAATGTATGCAACTGGTGTACAAAAATGTTATTTTTGTATTGCTGATAGCAACTTTGAGGAAACAAAAAATGTTGATATAATTTTAGTCAAATATAATAGTGACTATATTAATAATTTATTAAGTAAGTTAGTTGCTTTTTGGAAAACAAATATGTACCCTATTTTGTACAATAACACCAGATTTTGATATGTAAATAAAAAACCATTCCGTGATTCTTGTTTTATTGCTTTTATTTATTTATTTAGCCAGTTAAACTGGGTGAGATTAATCGTTATGACTGTATTGTTACCTATAGTATTTATTTAATAAGAGAATCCTGTAAATTTATTAAAGCACATGCAATAATAATGATATGGTCAAGTATACCAATGAAGTTAGTGTTTATCACTGAATGTTGCTTTAGCATATGGAATTCTCTTAATCGCCTTATCACTCTCTCAATGTGAATTCTTAAGCTAGCGATCATTTTTGTTTGTCGAACCTCCATTTTCGATAACTTTGTACCAGCATTTACACTGGGTGGCCTTACTAGTTTCATGCCTTTTACCTGTAGTAACTGTTCTAGGTTCTTGAAGCCTCTGTCTGCTAAAATGCAAGTTCCTTGTGGTAATGTGTCTAGAAAGTCACAGTTTTCCACTACAACAATGTCACTTGTTCTGCCACCAAATCCTTGGGAAACATAATTAACTAGACCATTAGGCGTGCAGGATATTAGGTACTTTAGAGTGTTCCCTTTTTTATACTCTGACCAAGTCAGTGCCTGATGAAGAGCCTTTGATGGTTTCTGTACATCAATTTCTAGACAATCAATAATGCAAGTAACATTGTGAAAGTGGTGTCTAAATGCAATAGGAAGATTCTTTTTTATTAATTTTTTATCTAAACTTACAATAAATGGTTTTAAAATGCTACTTATAATAGGTATATTTGCTAGAAATATTTTACTAGCATAGGATATTGATACGCCAAAATGATCTTCTAATTCAGAAAATGTGCTATTTTGTCTAATTTTTTTTAAGCATAGCAAAATGTGTTCTATTTTTATGTTGGTCACTTCATGCATCATCTGAACTATAAAATAACATTCTTTAGTTATACCAACATACATTAAGGGTTTTCTTTTGATTAAGTGCATATTATGTTTAAGGTACTGCAATTTTTCAATATTTTCAATATTATCTGTATCAGAGTCAGTAATTTTTGGTGATGATGTAGCCACAAAAGGTGAATAATTATCACTTTCAATACAAGAAATATCACTACTAGATTTTTCTTCCTGCGAGACTATATTTCTCTTTCTTGCTTTAATTGCTCCTGACTGTGAAGGTTGAAGATAACATGGTTCGATCTTAAATGGCGAAGTGAAACGAGATGTAGTTGACACTTTTAGTGGTGAAGTAGAAATATTTTTACTCGAACATTTTGTTTGCACAGCTTTGCTCCGATAATATACTTTCTGTTTTGTAGTAACTTGAACAGCTTTTTCAACATTTAAGATAGGTTCAGTGTTTGTTCCTTTGTCTTTGGTTGTTTGAGACTTTGTTGATGCTGAAAAGATAAATATTCAAAGTTAATTACCTACTTCATTTGAATGAAATAAAAAACAGAATAACACAGAACATAGTACCAACCATCAGTCTCAATAGTGTCCAAATTTCTTTCATTTTGTGAGCTTTCAGTGTTCATTCCAGTAGCACTTAGACAGTCTGTGACAAGATCAATTCTTTGCCTCTTAGCTGATGCTTCTGGAGAAGGTCCTGCAGCAGATAGCCTTCTTTTGCGTTCCACTTGACATTTAAGTTTAGAGGGCACTGCCTTATCTGCCAAAAGTATCCTTTGACTAAAGCCCATTTTAAATTTCATGTAATTGATTGTATCATTTTCCATCTGCAATTCAACATTATTGTTGTTATAACAAGTATCTTTTATTCGGTTTGGAAATAAGGGATAATATATTTTAAATTACAAAAGAGAACAGGAAGATGAACAATTCACATAATAGAAAACATTTGATATCCTACAAAAGCGAGTGTTGCGGTATGTAGCAGATTGAGAAGGAGTATTTCAACTTATGCTGTAAGTTTTGGTCATACTAAGAGAGGTTAAGTACCTAAAGAGTACCTAGTTAATAAGGAGGTTTCGGCCTACTATACCACGCTGGCCAGGCGGGTTGGTATCATAGGATTTGTGTCCAGTTTTCCTTCTCTTTGTAGTGCTGTTGTCCTGCGTAGTTTGCTCCCGCCATCGGCTCTTACGACACAAACGGGGTTTAAGGTAAGATATTTGTATATCCTTATGTAAACAACAATATTTTCAACTGAATAATAAATAAGTACTTACGTCAAGGTGATCTTCACACATGAAAACATTTGAAAGTGATGCGATACTGTTTGGGTCTCTTCCAGCTAATTGTAACCACAGTTTTCGTCTTTTGGGATCCGTTGGCACAGAAACAAACAGTTTGTGTGGAGTACTTTTAGATGTATTCTTACATGTTGACACTACACACCATTTATACGCCATTTTATCTAATATATCTTAACAAAAATAATGAAACTCACTTTATAACATAACCACGTCAGTACTGTTTTGTTTATAACACATATCACATATCATAACATATGTCAATTGCGTTACGTCATGATCTTGGCGTCTTGTCTCCCCCCTCTTGCCCTTCAGTAGGTTGCTAGCGTGTGACGTCAGGGCACGTTTTTGCCGCGGTTTTAAAATTTAAACTTCAATAGCGATTTTTAAATGTAAATAGATCTAATTTCTCAGAAATATTAATGTACTATGTACAATATCATGTATAGAAAGAATCTAAAACATTTTCTAAACTTAGTCAAATAGCCTATTAAAGATTAAAAAACAATACTTGTGGTATTTAAATTTAAATTTATCAAGTAGCTTCTGTTAATTGCAATTCACTATATTTCTCTCTCAAAAACATTATTTATAATTAATAAACAGTTTTCTTGCAAGAATGCTTTTAATTTTGATAAAGTTATATTTGATCTCAATTTTTTTTTTTGATTAACTAAATATAGTGAAAATTTTGAGGTGTTGCTTCTTTAAATGTTACTTGAGTCTCAGTGGATGACTTAAAACAAACTTATTTGTCATCATCATCATCATAGTCTTTCATAGTCCACTGCTGGACATAGATATAATAATATATTTTTATATTAGTTTTTATTACTGAATTATAAAGGAGACATTAAGGAAATTAAAACAATGTATTGTATAACATTTTTCATAACAGAAAAAGTTATAGAATCTTCTTTTGATGTAGTTTGTAGTAGATAGAAGTTCCTGATTTGACAATAATTGTTTTTTAGATTTATATATTTTGGTGCTATGTTATGCTACATAATAAAAACTTAGTAAGTTGAAGAGCCTCGCCTGCTGAAAAACTGAGAATTTTAGAAACGCATTTGTATAATGAGATCAGTAATTCCTCTCTAGAATATCTAAATAGACAAATCATCAAACAATAATCTTTGGTATGTGCATAGAAAATACATTAAGTAATTAAGTAAAAATGTATTTGTGGCACTAACAACATCTGCAAGATTTAAAGCATTTGTTGCATTCTATTGCGTTTTTGGTAAGCCAAGAAGCACATAAACCTTTATTTAATGTTTATAAAAACATTAATTTATATAACACACTAATAGGGTCAGTTCCTATATTTAAGAACAACAACTAATGTCATAACTCTTTAGAAATACTACTATTATTATCGCAATAGCCAATAAAAAAAAAACAAAATAATGTCAACAGGTAGTCAAATGTAGCACTGACTTAGAGTATAAATTTTTGGCTAATCTCGTACTTTATGATTACAAGTTGAAACAAAGCAATATTATCAGGCCCATATCTTCTGATAAAAATCGAATTTACTCTGATACGTAATCTAAGGGCAATCTGAATCACGCGGATCATAATGTGAATTTATATGCAACTCACCTGACATTTTGGTCCAATCAAGCTGAACACCTGCTCATTCTCCTCTCGAGATAACAAGACACTCGACCTGTTCTCTCCCCTTGGCATCCTGTCCACTTAATTAAAAAACCACTATAAATTACTACTATGTGCAAGGACCGATGTGTCAATCGACGAGACTTTCAAACATTTTAAATCTATATAAAATCCAATAATTTGACATGAACACTTATTAAATAAGAAAAATAAGAGCATTTCTCAATGTCCTGAAACACTTATTTCACTATTTATCACAATATTCTCGAAAAAAAAATTTTTAATATCCCAGTCCACTTTCTCTCTCGACGTCTATGGATATTCTGACTAATTTAGTGTTACCAGGTTATTATTTACTCGCATACTATCTAAAAATATCAGAATCGACACTTACAATATATGAATATTTTATAAGATATTTGCCACGAAACATTTTATACCATGAATATAATTTTCAATTTTTGTTTCTCTAGTTTTTAGCTTTATTCAATCATTATGAGTAGTCTAAAAATGGCTACTTGCTGATTTGTAGTCTACTTGTGATGACCTAACGTTTTACCAATTCGATTTAAACAAACATCGATTTTGAACTACCTACACAAAACAGTGTATAGCAGATAAGCGGACTCAAATATCCTACAATAATTTTCAATAAATTCTGAGTCAATAACTTTCAGCGTAGTTTTTGCGCTCACTGACTGTGACTTTATTAAATAACTGTTTTGTGAAATGAAATGATAATTGATGATGAAAGAAAAGTTTAAAAATTTGATTAAATTTTTAAATTTTCTTTTTCTTATACAATTTACATATTTTTTAAATTTTTAATTTGTGGACATAACAACAGACAATTTTAATGGACATAAAATCATTCTGAATGAATATTTTCCAGTTAACTCTGAAAATGTATAGGTAAAATATTTAAAATAGATACATACATAAAATAAATAAAAACGGCGTGAGGGGCCTATGGACGACACAGTCTGTCTGTTTATTACCCCTTCACGCGTAAAAGGCTGAACTAGTTTCGATGAAATTTATTTTACAGACAGTTTGAGTCCCGGGAAAGGATATCATCCTTTAAGGGGGTGAAAAGGGGGTTAGAATTTGTAAGGGAAAATATTAGGGATATTTTTTTTAAAGAAAGAAAAAATAACCGCAAAAGAACCAATGTAGATGAAATTTGCTGTTGAGATAGTTTCATTCTGGAGGAAGGACATTGGCTACCTTTACCGACTTGACTATTTTGACCGAGATTACCGACTTACACGCGGCAGAAGCTGCGGTTAAAAGCTAATTTAATGAAAGAAAACGATAACTTGATTTTTTTAACTTCAATTTTATAAATTGGCACATCACTATTTAAGAATTGCAAAAAAGTAGCAACCCACGTAATGTCAGTTTTGTCTTGATTTAAAAACAGACTATATTTCACTCATATCATGGTGTTGCAAAACAAAATAAAACAAAAAACCGAAAACATTGTACTGAAACTAACTTACTTTGCCTAAGCTATCTCAATAATATATTTATCTTTTTAGATTAAAAATACCCTATTAATTTAATAATAAAATAAATATTGTCTACTTGCCACACTGCGTACAGCGTAACTATGAAGTTGCTCGGCCCTACAAATTACGTAAAACTGGTTAAACACTGTACAGCTCGATATCAATATCTGCCTTTCTATATCAATGAATGTCCGTCTTAATTGATGCCCGCGAGCCGTGGCACCCTTGCTACAAATTCCTTTTTAATTATAATTAATGGTAAAACGGGCGGTACTAGCAGTACCCATGAGATGCCAAAGAACATATGCGAGACTGGAGTTCCTCACAAACTCTACACCTTATCAAAATATGTGGTGTGGCCGTTTTGTTACTACAAATATGGTATAACAAAAGTAATGGACAGTGAATAAATTTTTCACCTTACGCCCATGTGACGTTAGCGAATCGGCCAAGTCACATATTTTTTATTCTAATATTAGTAACAAGAATCAGTACGAAAGCTTTAAGATTAGTGTTGGGTAGTACACGTACGATGTACTGATAGGTACTAGTACTGGGTGTTGTACTAAAAGTAATGTTTCCGAAAGGCAGCTGTTAATCGGACATTTTGCACTATTAGTACACTGTGTCAACTTCAAGCCAGTACTAAAACTATCTATTGTTTACTCTGTCTACTAGTGTCTACGTTCGTTCGCTATGCGACGTACTATTAATGCTCCGCTTTATTGTTCCGTATTTATAAAGTGTGAGAGTAAAAGGGACAGCGATACAGGTGTACTACAATACGTTGGGTTGTAAAGTATGAAGGAAAATCAGATAGTATGCTTAAAAATTTAGTGTAAAGTAATTTAAAAAATCGTATTTAAAAGTCAAACTGTTAGGTTTTATGGGATTCAGAAAGGGATAACACATTAAAAATAATCAAGAACTGTGTAATTATTTCTATACTGAAGAAAAGTAACTGCCTAATACAAAGCCATCTATATTTAAAAAAAAAAAACTATAAGTAACACTTTTTTTTAATTACGTATTTTAATTTATTTAATTATTAGTATTCCGTTTCATTAATGTTGGTAATATCAATACAAACGCTTAAGTTTTCTACTTCTACTAAAACTGTACTAATAGAACTATTACGGTGTGCTAGTACGTTGTACGAATTGTACTAGTACGGTGCGAACCTGCAGATGTCCGATTAAGCACAAGACTATTTAAGATACCACATAAAGTCAATCGAGTTTTTCTAAGCATCATTGTTGTGATTATGACTAAGGTGTGGAGTTTGTAAGGTTAGGGCTTGTAGGGTAAAGAGGTGTAGAGTTAGAAACTTGACTCTACATGGGATCTAATAACTTTTTGACAGTGTCTTGGCAACATTTTAAATGAAAATGTTTTTAGGAGAACTTTACTTTTCTACTATTTTAGACTCCTCACTTATCACTGGTCAATGTCTTCTAATCTAAGGTAGGTAGGTAAGGTATAAATATAATAAATAAAAGAAACCCATTTTTTTATTTATATTTTCATCTTTGTTTGCTAAAGGGCAAACTAGATACAAAACGATATAAATTCATTAAATCTATTATCCCAATAAATTACACGATGGTCTTATTAAATCAAATAGCACAGCATAAAATTAAAAATTTAATTAGGTAGTACTACTCCGGTACAAGGATTACGTACAAACTAAGTAATTATGTATACAGACTTCTTTAATAATAGTGTTTTAAAAAAGTAATAAGAACAGTACTACACAATTTTTAGTTTCATTTTACAACAAAACGGCGGCTAATTCAACATTAGGCGGTGTTTCATGCATTTGACGTTATTAAATTGACGCAAGTATTTGGTTTATTCCACTTTCATAAAAAAAAAAATTAAGTGTAATATCTAAAGAAATTCGTGCTTATAAAACAAATGGTTTACAAGACATGTCTGATGCTGCCAGGTTTTCTGAAGAAACGTAAGTATACATAGGTATATAGCTAAAGATATGTTTAGAAAAACGCCTTATATTCAAACAATTAAATCGTTAAGCGGTGTTTTGTTTGCAAGAACACTTTATAATGAGACACCCCATTGTAAAATGAACTTACTTAATTTATTAACATTATTTTGTTAGAATACATTTGTTGAACAACAAATTGAAATTAAAACAAAAAGCAGCTTTTAAAATGTTATTTTGTGCCTTCATGGCTCAAAGGCCATTTTAGTAGCAACTTTTTACATAAATGTTTTTAAAGTGCGGCTATACATTCGCGTCGATGAATTTGAACATATATCTTCTATAACCTACATTAAGAAATTTTACTAGAAAACTCCATCAATAAGACGAATAATATTATTGATACAATTCATAATTTAAGAGTTTTACAATTGTAAGGCTAATTTTTAAACTAACGACAATAAATATCTACAGCGAGTTTCACATTAAAACCCTTTATTTACGTAGCAAAATGTATCTGGTTTCACACAACAATAATTAGTGCTTATAATGTTAAATATCATTACAATTAAGTTTGCAGATCTCATGACAAAAGAGGAGCATGTTATAACTTGCATATGTATAAAATGTATTTTTTTTTAAATTGGAATGCATTGTCAGAAAATCCTTTTTTTTTCAAAATAAACATTTATGTCGTATTTTCGACTCGTGATGTTCTATAGTGGTTATATTGCTTAACACACAACAATACAACATAAAAATACATTGATATAAGTTGTCAACTAAGCTAATGATAAAGGATTTTAAATTCCTGTGATCCTGCACAGTTAGAGCAGTTTATCGATTACGTTAGGATAACAATTATAGTTGCAAACTAACAAATATAGTTCACTAACTAGGGTTACTACCCTACGCTCAGTGGCTAAGTTACGGTGGCAAATAAAATATTTTAAGCCCGATTTTAACATTGAGTATAAAATTATAAGCATGCGCTTTTTATTATGACGTAGTAATTTTTAAGTATAATTATTATGTTATTAATTTTAAGTTTTATAATTTGTTGCAAAAAAACTTTGTTCTGCGAGCGTTGGGTTTACGTAGCTCTGCCAATAATGACTTATTACCAGAGACTGTTAAAAAGGGAAGGGGAGCAAACAACATCAAACACTGAATAGGCCCTGAAGTACAAAATTCGATGTTAGTTACAAGAGGAAGCTAGCATATAAGGCGATAGTATAGATGCGTTGTGCGTGAGTTCAATGGTCATAACACTGTCAAATCACTGTGTCAATAAACTACTGGTTTCCCCATAACTCTAATTCCTTATTACAAAAACTTTGTGTTTTTTTTTAGTATTTGTAGTGAAGACCAAATTTGATCAATGTTCTCACAAAAAAGAAGTAATTAATTACTTTCAGAGAAATTAGTATAAAGAAACAATATTTTACTAAAACTTTTAATTTACTGTGCAAGTTTTATATAAAAGTAATACTACTCTCTTCTTAAATTACTCCATCTTATGTACGTATATAAGTGCTGGCACAAACCTAAATTATGGTATTCAGTCAAAATACCATTTATTACAATTCTTCGCATACTTATTGATTGAATAAATAATATTTTATAAAAAGTTAGTATTGTATATACTAATACTACACACATCATATTTTAGTTTTTCTCTTTTTTGCCAACAGTGATCATTGTCTTTTGTGTGCCAATGAATATCTACAGCTGCATGCAATTGGCATGTACTTTATTCGAAAAACAAAGTCCATCGTACATTAACAATGTATTGCACTTTGTATTATATTAATTATTTTAAACGCTAGAAACATATTACCTGCCGAAAAATCTCATTTAGTTATTAACGACAAACTCAACATCCCACATCTTAACCAGAGAAAAACACAATTCTATGTTGAGATAAAATTGATCTTTAAAATATAGATTACATGCAGTTATACCATTAATTATATCTAGCTCCATACTATTATAAAATATTATTTATTATTACGAGTTATAGAAACACAGCTACCACAGATAAACAGCCTCAATGTAGTCAGTAATTGACTCAATGACTTTGGTTACCATCGGCATAGATATTAAAAAATATATATATAAACGTGACCCATTCTCATTACAAAGGTGAATATTAATATTCAGAACGCACTAATCATTTTGTTTGTCGCTAGCTCAAATTGCGTTATTTAATAACACTTTATTTGTATTTACTGATGTAATGGTAAGAATATGTATGGATGTTTTAAATGTAGTGTTATATCATTTTCAATAAAAACTCATGTTTGATAAAAACTGTACAGGGATTACCAAGTTTATAAACATTATGAGATGTAATTTGCACGTGGAGAAAATAATACTAAGATAACCGCCGAAGTTGATAACACTACAAAGTTGTTATGATTGGTGATACACAGCGTGTATTTTTTACTTTCATGATTAGTGAAGTACCTAACGGTTTTTTAAAGGTTGATCTATTGACAAGTACATTATCAGTAGCCGAAAGCCGGTATTTGCATTTTAATCAGTTAACAGAAAGGTCAGCTTTTACTGCAAAATTTTATTTAAAATGAAATTTTGCTTTGTACCGCCTTACAGATTTTTTGTTGTATAATATTTTGATTAGCCTTACGGAATCCGTGTGTATGAAATAAATACAGGTAGGTTAATGGTCACATCTTTTGATTGTCAAATGAATTGTATGAAATTTATTATTCTAGAAAAGTCCTGAACGCATTAATTACTTGCCACATTCATGCATATTTTTGAAGTAAAACTTCTTTAGTTTGACTTGGGGAGTAAGCTGGTGAATGCGTGACGAGAGCGTTGCGAAAAGTGTGATCGAACGGAAGTTGAGAGGGAGATATAAGTTAGGGAAGATAGAAAGAGAGACAGTTATGTTTCGTATATTACTGTAGGGGCAAGAGAGAGAGGTACGGGTACACATTTTCTTTATCTCTTTCTCTCATAGCCAAGAAGTTTTACTTCAGTCGTGTGGTCTAGCACACTCGTTTTCTTCTTATAGTTCCGCGTTATTAAAAGCGATTTTTTTAATAAGAATTTTTATTTCTTTAACTTATTAACCATCATAGGCTTCAGCCATTACTCAATTCGTAAACATTATCATTTTTGATTCTATAATGGCTGTAAAATTTAAAAATAAAATACAAACTAACTTAAATCATAAATAAGACAGCACCATCCACTTATAACTCATTACACAACAAAACATGCCACAATAATTAAAATTGTACTCGTTCATTAATCAAAATTGTACATGATTACACAATAAGATCTAAGCGTACGTATTAGGAACCCATAAAATCTATGATATAGCTGCCTACATTGCAATTAAATAATTATACAATAATATTTTGAAATAAACGTATTACAATTTGCAATATTAAATAACATGAATAAATCCGCAACCTTAGAATGAAAGTCACCTAACCCAAAATTTCTGGCACTTCTAATAATTCTTCTCTTAACTGACCTTAAAAAATTCACTTCAAACCCTGTCAACCCCATACATTGGTCGCTTTTGTTTCATTATTCATCTACGCAATCTTCTTTTTGAAGATTTTCTTCCTCATTTACCAAAACCTGAATGTTTTGATTAGGTCCTTTCATTCTGAGAGTGCGATATTATGTAAGTAATTAAATAGAGGTACTATTGATTAGTTTTATGATTCTATCGTTACAGTTTTTTTCTGAATAAAAGCTCTAATAAATACTTAAATACGCGAATATCTCATTTCTACTATTTAAAATAAAAAAATTATAGTCTACGACGATATGTCTAGATAACGTCGAATTGAAAAAAGGTGACAGTGAAACACGGATTTTAACAAAAATTGAACAATTAGCACTTGGTTGTAGATATTAAAAATAATACAAGGTGTTACAAAATGTGTCGTTTTATGTATAATAGGAGCGTTAAGTTTGGATGAGAAATTGTTCACATAGTTTGGAAAAAATATATTAAGAATATACTTTTGGATCCAGAAATATGTCGTGTTCCTGATTTCTATACAGATTTTAAACGTTCCTTTTGTCAGTTTGAAAATAAGATTTCTATATTCCAAACTGGACTTGTGCTGACTCGCGCCCCCAGAGCCTCCGCAAGTAAAAAAGAGTTGAATATGTTACACAAACAAACAAAAAATAAAACAAACTTATCTTAAAACTGTCTCATACATTGATAAATGTCACGTTTATTTTTATAAGCGCAATATTTAAGTTTGAAGTGATAGAATAACAAAATGACGTTGTGATGTTTCATAGATGTTAATTTTAACTTAATACCTCCACGTTTTCCTGAGAGAAAGGTACTTCACAGACAGAGGGAATAAAAGTGAAAGCAAATATTTTAAAGAAAAATGAACTTTTTGATTAATGGTACCCTAAAAATTTAAAACTACACGTTTATGCAAGACCTTTTATTTTTAACAAATTTCAATCATTAACTCCTTGGCATTTTGAAACGAAGACGCGGAACAATATTCACACAGATTTATATAAAAAAAAGTGTTATGTATGAGTCTATGACGATACAAGATGTTTTGTGTAGGTGGTACTTAGAACAGCCAAGGCCGAACTGTACGCTTGTTTAAAAACCACGTCACTCAGGCATACGTCACTTTCGTGGATCCAGTTTCTACGTTTCTGCTTTGTATTACTGTATATGTTTAGATACGATTGCAATAACGTTTCAATGCACTCTCTGATCTTGAATATTTGCCAACTGTTTTGGTTGCCACTATTAAGAAAATTATTAAAACTTTTCAAGTAGGTACATTTACAAGTATGCATTAGTACAATCAATATGCAACTACTTAAAAAATTAACGTTACTATTAAAGTTTTCGCATGAAACTATTATTTATACAAAAAAATATTGCTAAAACTGCATGATAATTTAGAAGAAGTTTGTGCATTTAAATTAATAGATACAGTACCATTGATTGCTTCTAAACGGTAACAAAGTGTAGGTTTCAAATAAACTAAGCGAGACATCTTTAAAATATCGCTTGTGCTGTGGCATGAAAATCTATCGAACTTAAGGTTTCTGTTGCAATTCAACTTTCTCAATCTCTAATTAAGTATACACACATCAGTATTGTCTACTGTCATCCTTAACATTAATACACATAAATATCAATTTTGTGGAAAACGAGCCTTGAACAGTAACACACTACTTAAACAAATAAAACAATATACATATCAGCTGCAACAGGTATGTATTTTAACCAACAAAACCTTACATTAAACGACGTTTAACGCCCTTACAGTGGCCTACGGTTAAACTGATATTAAATTAAAAATAAATTCGACAAAACGTCATTCTGCAAATCCTTAACTACTTAGGAGATATGCGACTCTACCTAGTTGCACTAGACATAAGAACTATATTTGTACAGCGTACCATCCCTATAAGGTGGGGCTACATTACTCAGTGCTTAGTAATACTATTTACCTGATTGAGATTACTTTAGCTTTGGGCAAGTCCAAGGTAGTCCATAGGGACTGTGAGTGGAGGAAGCAGCTCAGCTCTCCGTTTGCGTTTGTCCTGCTCTTGGCTCTTGGGGCTTCTGAACACCAATGTCTACGTTTGATGGCCCAACCGCCACATTCACTACATCTGAAAAAAGGAAAAATGTCATCATTAATAACTATATTTCTTATTAATCAATATTTAGTGGTAAATAATATAGTTTATCATTGAGGGACTCCAGTTTTAATTTGAATTAACAGGTCTTGATTATCTGTGAATGAATTGGAATTTCATATTCCTCCCGAGGGTGTCGTAAGAGCCGACTAAGGGAGCAAACTATGTTTTGAAAACAGCAACCAAGTCTGAAGAAGATGTCAGTAATCGGTAAACAAGTCACGGTTTACGAGCCATTACACATTGGCATAATTCGGAAACTGAACGCTATAAAGCAGCAACTGATATAAATATTAATTTTTGCGATGCGATGCTTTTATCACCGACTTGTTTTTGGAAAAAAGAGGAAACGATTTCAAATATAATTAAGGTAAAACAAATAACTAATATATCGTGGTTTCATAAAATTCCTGAATACTTATACGAGTAGATCAACACACATAGGTACCGCAAAAATGATTTGCTCTGTCACATGTTAAAATAGAATAGAAACATCCTGGATTATATTCAATACTTAAAAATAATGTTGTTTTCTGGAACCTTGCTTTAGAGGGCATAGAAAATGTTCGTTTTCCATCCGGTATTGATTCTTAATTTAACCTAAACTCCATTAGTGATGCCAATAATAACAGCTAACTAAAGTATTTATATTCCTCATACAAGTTCGCGCGTCATTTCATCCAGAATTAGAGCAAATCACTACGCACACATCACACAAGGATTTACGTAGTGTTAATTCCGTTGCGTGAAACTTAGTTTCACAGTATTTGGAATGAAAAAACTTTTATTTTTAATAAGAAAATAATGACATGTGAAATAAGTCCGAAAATATTTCATCCCGCAACAGACTTTATCGCTATCCAAGTTGAATTATCTTGGGGAAAAACTTCCTTGCTATGATCTTATAAGAAGATTACGGCATATGGTACTTCACTACGCTGTACCTTATTACATTGTAACTATGTCTTTGATTCTGGATCCGGATATCTGGTAGTAGAGCAGCGTAGTGCAGTACAGTGACTATATTTTTTTAATCTTTCGCGTTCCCTAGTAATTATGTATATGTAAGGGAAATAACGTGATCACGTTGTCTGACGTTTTGACCAGGTTGTAAACTGGATAATTCGTGTTAATTCCCGTATTTTTACATAAATTAAGTATATTACGACAGAGTTACTATTTTATTATAGGCATACATAATAATATATGTACATCTGCATGAAGTAAGCTATCTATAATGTTCATTACTATTTCTACTAAAGGTGCGTCATACTTTAATTGGGTAACATAATCTTCAATGTGAAACAACAGGACCTCACTTCACCCAACATTTCATCGTCAGATCTATTAAAGTATATCATGTATTCGGTCTCATAAAGACATCTGTCAATGTATTAGGAAAGAAATAATGATATTTCTCATTTTGTAAAGATGATTAAACCACGATCACAAAACCTAATCTCTTTTTGTACCTATGTGAACATAATTGTTATTATTTGTTCAATAAAGAACATAACACGAACGTTACACGTAGCGACCCTGACCCAAAAATATTACAGACGTGGTTGTATTGCAAGTTTTAAAAACTGAAACTTAAAATACTAAAACGAGTTAAGAAAATATGCACGTGTTGTTCATTTGTGTAAGTCATTGACTAAAACATTGAAAGGGATTGTGGTAATATACAAGTATTTGAAAACTTTTTTTATAACAACTTAATATTGCTACCTACATAAGATTTTTTACCCATATAAAAAATCCACACTTATAAAATAATGTCATGTGGTGATGGATTAAGAATACAGAGTGCCACCACCCCTATTCATCCCATGGGTGTCTTAAGAGCCGACTAAGGGAGCAAAACTACTCAGGACAACAGCACTGCAAAGAGAAGGAAAACTTGCAACAAACCCTATGCCAAACCGTCTGGCCAGCGTAGTAGCGTCAAAACCTCCTATCTAAGGAGAGGCCTATGTCCAGCAGTTGACTATTAAAGGATGATGATGTTAAATAAGTGGCATATTGAAAGTAATGAAATTTGAGCTTGTCGTGAGCCCTGACTACAAAAACTGATCCTCTCTTAGTTAAAAGCTGGATCCGTTTTTGTGCTCGAATGCTGAGTTTTAGAGCGGTGCATACACTTTCTTTGTCGGTTCTCCATGTCAATTTTCAAATTACTGATAACATCAAACAGTAGCGACACATCCACGGTAAACTGTTATGCTTTTTCTTAACATCTTAAGGCAACACGTAAAAAGGAACACTAAATAAATATGTATAAATAATAATTTAAATTTACAGATTTTACTTTATCATCCGTGTGTTTCAAGAAAATAATAGCTTTTGCATTTAATTTCTAGATTTTGACCTAAAGCAGACTTCAAATTACCTTTATTAACATAACATTTTGCTAACCAGACAAAAAAAGCATGTTCAATTAAACTTTTGAAAACCTACAAGATATAAGAAATAAAACTAAACGCAAATGCTATGTTGAGGACTTTACTGTAGTTAAAGAAAAAAAAGTGGAGAGTAATAGTTACGTGTTCAAAACACAGACATTAGAACGACGAAACGGAAAAACCCTTGAGTTCTTCTTACATTCGTGCAGTCTCGAGTGGTTTATTTTGAGACGACTGACTCTTACAAAAATCTATAATATGGTCAAATGAGTTTATCAGTCATATTACATAACTTAATTATTCATTACGTGTATTTTATAATTTGAATCCCTAACAACGTATTTTTGTGGGATTTTCGTGATATCACAGCAGGGTGTACACTCTAGTCGTTGACTATAATTGGACGAGAAAAATAAAATAATAAATAATCTTTCAGCAAAATAAGTAACGGATCGAACGGAAGCCAAGAAAATTAGATTTGCGCTAATTTATAGTATTACAGTCGACCTTGATCGACAATAAAGATAGAGAGAGCTGCTACGTAATACTCAATATGATCTTATATTGAGAATAAATATTTGGCTTAATTTATGATACTGATAATACTGCTTTGGATTAATAGTATTGTACATGGTATATACTATACGGAATGATAGGCTTTTCAATACACGTGTTAGATAATTATGGTGGCGCCTTAAGCAGGTACTAAAGGTAATAGGACGCAACAAAAAATGTAATCTGCGGCTCCATAAACTGTGGCTATTGAAGGGAATGATAGGTAGGATTCATTTCTTTTATTTGTTTAATTTTGTAAAATACTTAAGTTTTGTTTAAACTAATGAGACACACTAATTCTCCGTATATAATAATAATAATAATCCGAAAAAGATAGAAGCCTCCAGCATAAATGAAGTATATCAACATTCGAGTGACTCGAGGAAAATCTCAACGTATATTTTGGAAGTCTCTTTGTAGAAAGCCCTGTCCTGCTAAAATGACGGTTTGCGAGGAGCTGGAACCTGTCGAGTTAGTCGTTAGTTGAAGCCCCTAAGTATGAACGCCCCGATGGCTAAAGAGTCCGTTTTTCTGTTTCAAAATTTCGGCAAAGCACATGCAAATTAATGAAACTCAACTGCTTTAATATATTTCAAATTACACAAAATAGTTGTAAATATTAGTGTTAAGTTATTAGCTGTAAGAAAATTGTTTTTTTTTTCTGTTTACGAGTTACACTAATGACCGTTGCCAAGTAAAGCTTTTTTTATACTAAAGCTATTACACCCCTGGTCCGAAAACTATAATGATAATTTCATGGGGGTTTTTAAAAGCATATAAAAAATCGATTTATCATTAGGTAAAATACAATGCCGTGATAGTACAAGGGTCAATGTAAATTATTCACCTGAGAAACCTAATCCAGCCGTCATATAAGGCATAACAAAACGGTATTTTGCAATACAATATCTGATCTATTCTATATCTGATCTATCAGCAAATATTTTGGTTTTATAGTTGAATTAGCCGGGTATTTCAAAAAAATACACAAACAGAGGCGACTATAAAACAGTTGAACCGACTCCAAAACATTAACATAAAAATAATTAATTACAATTAAAAGAACTTACAATACATTTAACGCTTAACATTTTAGTTAACATTATAATGGCTCTAGATACCTTTTTGTCTGTTTAAAGTCTCTCTCATTCTATGGGAGAGCACAGAATTATTTTTGTAATACCTGTTACGTGATGGTATTCATTTTCTAGTCTGAACATTATTGTACCTGTATCATGGAACGCAAATCTTTAAAAGTGAGTAGAAACGGTATTCAAAAGATTACCTACTATCTAACTACTTTAGATAATATTACCTAATAGTTAAAAATAACAGATACTTAATTTAGATAGGATGTTTGTCTAACAAATTTCTACACTCAATCAATAAAAAACGGACAAGGGCCCAATACAAAGAGTAGAGACTACTTCGTCCATCTTGGAAATTGATTTCCGAAGATTAGTAGCCGTTTTTTCAAGACAAACAACTACCCACCTATACTAATATAATAAGCTTTCGGGATTTTGGTTGTTTGTTTAAACGCAATATACTCTAGAATTATCTATTGATTTATAAATTAAACACGAACATTATCTTTGTTACCGTGCTTCGAAGTGTGTCATGCACCGATAATCGACATTGCAACGCAATTATACCGATTGCGCTTTGAAAGTTCGCCTCGGTGAATACAATGTAGTTAAGTACCATGGGACTTTATCTACGGAAAGAGTAATTAATGACTTTAGAATTCCACCCTTAAAACCATTGAAATAATACTGGTTAATCTTATTAGGTAAGTAGTCTAACTGGTGAAAGCAGAAATTTAGCTTTTTGGAACTCACCCCTACATGTAAATTATCTATTAGCATAGCAAAACGTAGATCAAACAGGCAGAAAAATAAAATCAATAATTTAAGCAGAAAATATTAAACCAAACTATGGAAGGCAAAAAGTGATATAAAGCCAAGACTTTAATTAAATCAATAACTCGTCCTTAGATTTTTATTTATGGTGTAG